CATCATGATTCAGCTGTCTGCACTGAAGCCGGAATAGTGTATTTCTGTCTCTTAGTGTGTGTCACGACAGCGCCTTGTGTTGATGTGTAGCCTACACAGACTGGTGGACTAACTAACTGTAACGTTAACTCATTCATAAGGAATGACCCCCCATCGAGGTGAGGTGACTGGCTTAAGCGCTGATGCTGAGAATCGTCTTCTTTCTTTACGACGGTCTTTACAGAGGAAAGAAATAAATAGGCAGCGGCGGTATACAGTGTGTTATACCATCAGCACATTTAGAGGATAGAGAGCCAGAGAGAAAGAGAGAGAAAGACGCTGACTGTAGAGGCTGGAGCTGCAATGCAGACCATGGGCAGCCACACACGCTCTTGCATCATCTCGGAAATGTGGCATATTTTGGACGTTGGACTTCGAGCCAGGAGGACACGAAGACCTCTCTTGTCTGGGGATTTAAAGTCCTCCCTCATCGCAGGTGTCAGCGAGTGTCAGGCAGGCACACGATGCAGAAGATGCTGAGCGGGGCTTTTTGCTCTGATGGTTCAGAGTGAATAGGAAGGCCTGAGTAACAGTTTATTTTACAGGCCCTATCGTTTCCCATTATTTCCTAGAGAGGAGCTGATAATGTCGGTGTAAAGCTGTAGGAAAGATCCTGGAAGGCACTACATAATTTAATATTAATTGAGACAGTGTCTATTGGAACACTTCCAATTAATTAATTCTGATTAATTGCCAGAGCAGCCGAGAGACTCAGGTAACATGCAAAAATTTTAAAAATGTCCACAGGCAGGCATACGGAGAATAAAATGTTGTCTTCAAACATATTCACTCTGGTTTAAATCGATCTATGTCAGATTTTCACAGTCATTAATATTTTAGCAGTTCTTTCAAGGAAATTCATCTGGAGATCAAAACACGGTTATAAACACAACACTAATAACCAAACTGAAATAATGTCTTAGACCAGTGGTTCCCAAATGGTGGGTTATGGTCCAAAAGTGGGTTGCGGGTCCATTCTGAATGGACCATAAGCGACTCGTAAATGTGGCAAGTTCGTCAAAAACCCACACTTATTTTTAAGTACAGTTAATTTCCAGCAGTATTCTGAAGTGCCGTTTCCTGCTGTAGAGTGAGTGACTAACCGACAGCTACTTGACAGAGACACAAAACCAGCTCGACGACGTGGCCAAACGCAAGTATGACGCTGAATGTATTAAACTGTGAGACCTCAAACTAATGACTCAGGGGAAATCTGGACTCTGTGGCTGGAATAGTTTGGAACAACTGTCTTAGACCACTGGTTACCGACCCCCATTGGTAGTCGCCAAAACTTCACAGGGGGTCGTGAGGCCGTCTCAATTTTAAAAGTCGTGAAAAAATATACATCTACGCATTTCATTAATTTCTACAAAGAGAACTAAATGAAACTGTAAAAATTATAAAGTATAAAGTTCCTACAAATATGGGGCACCAAGCAGTTCAGTTGTTAGCGAGGGCATCCTGTGTACAAAGGTACTGTCCTTGCCGCAACGGCCTTGGGTGTGATTACACTTAGTCAGGGGTCGCAGTTTACTTAATGATAGAAAAAGGGTCCTTTAATAAGGACAAAGGTTGGGAACCACTGTCTTAGACCATTGTCTCTATTTTCTGTGTCATTAGTCCACATTTCAGCTCTATTCAGTAAACTACTGAGGAAATAATTAGGAAATCGTAGCACCTGTAAGATGTGTTACCAAGTCTGAGGTTGGCCCACTGCGTCATATGAGACAAGTACAGATAGAAATGTCACCATCGGCTACACGATAGTACTGATATGAGGAAAGTATGCTACAACATTGTTAAATATCACAATAAGAATAATACATGTGATAAATGAACAGATACTAAAGTGTACTACTTTTATGCTGCCTTCAGTATCCTGCTAAAATACAACAAGCTGCTCATTAAATATTAACAAAAGGAACAAAAATTATCTCCAACATTCTTTTATGAAACAATCTGAAGACCGAGCCGAACACAAAAGGCACCAATAAAAAAACAGTGACAGATTTTAAAGTGCTTCTTTTCCTGATACTCTCTTTCAACTAACTCAAACAATCCCTAAGTACAATATCGCAGTCTTCTGCAATGTGTTTATCACTCCAGTTGACAGCAAGGTGATGATGAAGGTACAATAAACACGTCACAAGAGAAACACAAGCATAAAACCCACATAGGGGAAATATTAACAGGTCAACACGTATAAACATACAAGGTACTGATGTTTCCATGGAGAAGTGTTTCTGCGACTGCAAAGCCTTTGTATCAGAGAAGAGTGCTTTTAAACCAATCAGATGTTGAACTCCAGCTGCTTGCTCGTACTAAGCCAATAAAGTGCTGCTGTGCAGCTTGTGGAGTCAGGGGAGCTCCTCCCACCCAATGAGAATCCAGCTTTGGCACGATGGCCTGTGATGCAGCAGCTTTAGGAAGTCCAGTGCATGTGAACTGGAGAGAAGCCAAAGCAGAGTCACCAAGAGAGCAAGGTAAACAACTTCCCTCTCTTTCTCGATCTCACTCTCTCCTCCTCCTCTCCTCTCTTTCTCTCCCTCTCTGATCCTCAGCCATGACATTTAGTCCCTTCTGCTGCTCCCTTTCTCCAAGAGAGACAGACAGACAGATAAAAAGATAGAGAGAGGAAGGGAGAGATAGAAGCTGTGGACTGGCTGAGGTGAAGTCCAGCCCTGAAATGACTGCGTCACCATCTCTGTCTCTCCTAACTACGCAGAAACAAATGTGTCTTGGGAAGGGTTTTGCCAAATCCCAGTGGCCCTGGAGGGTGAAAACAAATCACATGACACAAGTGCCACTAGCCACAGACACCAAGCTGATCTGTTGTCTGATAGCAACGTACAGCTGGATCCCACCCAGCCCCTGCCTTCATACATGTCTGCCTCCCCATGCTCACTCCTCAACTCCATCAAGAGTTAAACACAACAAGTAGGCCGGCCGTCAACAGTTCCAACACAGACACATAGACATATATATCTATATACGTATGAAGCGATGTGAAAATTGTTATCCTCTTGACCGAAATCAACAAACTTATCCTGTCGTTTCTGAAGGCTGCTGTAATGTCCACCTGGCTGCATCTGCGCACACTCCCATAATGGTGTATTAAATGTCTAATGCTGTTTCATAATAGGTCAGATGGCACCATGCACGATTGTATTCACCTATTTGCACCACTGTAATGATCATCCGTCTTCCTTAAGGTGATGGTGGCAACAACAACAAAAAAAAGCGACGCCTGAATACCTTGATAATTCTCAGCAAAACATTCCTGACCGAGCTTCACTGTGATATTAAGAACCTTCCAGAATATTCTTTTGTTAACCCCTTTGTCGCACCTCTGCCCACCCGAACCACACACACCTTACCATGCTATCACAACAAGACCTAGAGAAACTGTGTCACATCTTCAGCATCCATGTTGAAACTCCCCGATTACCAGCTCACAGGACTTACACAGCCACACACACACACACACACGCACACACAAATACAGTAGCGACAGGCAGAGCAGATCAAAACTACCAAGGAGGAAGAGGAAGAGGAGGAGAAAGCCGAGGTTGTCCGAAACCATTGTGTCGACTTCAGGTGGAAAACTCGATGACTCTGGGCTTCTGTTATCTCAGCTCCTGTTTCTTCTGACATGAAAAAGTGACGTAGCAACTAATCCAAAATCTCTGTCTCTCTGACTTGCTCTCCCTCCCTCCCTTTATCTCCCTCTCTCTCCCTTCCTGCCTCTCAAACACACGCACTCTTTATTTTCATCTTGTTGCAACAGCACAACTGCTATTAGACTGCTACTTCCAGCTAACACATATACACAGAAAACAGAGCAGAACCCACACAAATGCACATGTACGTGCGCATGCACGCACACACACGCACAGCCGTGCACACGCGCGCATGATCACGCTATTCCTCTTCCCGAGTGTGACGCAGCACTTAATTCTCTGTGCTTTTATACCACTGTTGTGGCTACACAACGCAACTTCTTGATCAAGCTGAGCCAGAAACACACTTGCTAGCTGCCACACAAGGCAAGTGAGCATGAGCAGACTGCAGTTAAAGGGACCCTACCACCATGGCTCCCTGTCCCCCACTCTGTAACGTTGCAGTGTCCCCATTTCCCCCCATGTCCCCTTATAATTGGGTCTCTCTCACTCTCCGCTGCCCTCCTCTCTGGCGCACTCCTCTCTGCTCTCGGCTAGAGACGCACTGGCTCCTCTGTCTGTGAGGCTGAGCTGACTGAGCCTCCTCGATCACCTGACAACCCACTGGTTTTAAAGGCACATCACCAGCTTATGTATCAGTTGCATAAGCACTCAGATGGTCTTTCAGCAGTTTAAATACGGTTAATGAGGGACACAACTTATCTCTGAATCTGCACCAAAGGGAATATTTACATGCTGCTCTGTTTACATTGTAATGCGATGCTTTTGTAATACCCATATGTTGGTTACTACAGTGATTTCTGACGCAGAACACAAGCGGTTCCTTATTCAGTGCTGCTACTTTTTACCTCCAGAGTGGACCAAGTGTTGAAAAACAGTATACAGTGTGTGGTGATTGACTGTCACGACCACACTTTGAGGCTATACCATGAATAGGTCGACCACATGTACTTCCTCTTTCAGTTCTTTGTGCTTCCTACCACAGCTCTGGCCTAAAGGAAACACAGAGAACTGTTTCATTCTCTGTTTCTATTCAAAATAAAACTGCTTTTCATCTAAACTAATCATAAATCTTATTAAATGCCAGAGCGTAGTATAAAAATAGTCTAGTGTCTTTGCAAGTTAATTGTGCTGAATGTAAACCGGGAATGTAGCTGTTCCTTTAAAAGGACTGTGTTCCTGTCTCTGTCTTATAAATAGTCTGTTTTGGTTCAGTCAAACATTAGCAGAGTTTATTTTAGGAACTTGAGTCTTTGCAGTTTTATCTGATTGGTCACATACCTTGATCAGATGATTCTTAATTTGTAATGTAAATCAGACTGACGGAGCTGTGGGGAGATGAAAGGAGAAAGACACTTTTTAGAGTACGAAAACAAAACAAACAAAAATCAACAAGCATTGAAATGATCTGATTTGACTTATAACACAGATATGGAGCGCTCTATTAGACATGACACTGGCTGAATTATAGAGCATTGTAGTGTTTCAACCAATGACGTATGAATAATAGTGGGAATTAATTGTAGAAGGACTCTAGTAGGGCCGGGCTATACATCAATCAGTGTTGGGAAGGTTGTTCTTAAAATGTAACAGGTTACAGATTACAAGTTACCCTGTTAAAAATGTAATGTAACTCAAAGTAATCTAACTTAAAATTTGATTACTTTCTAACAAATAATTTAAACTGGGCAATAAAGCTGAATAATGTCCAAAAATAGGCCGTGCCAAAAGACGACATTCCTGCACTGCGGCAAGATGCAACACAACAGAATGAATGTTTTACTCTATATAGACGTCTTTCCAGAAAGAATACACTCAGATGTAACCCTTTATAATCACCAACATTTTGATCAGTAACTTTGATTTAATTTCATTTTTTTCTACTGTGTTATGAGACTAGATATCTTAGAATTTGGGTATCTTAAGTGTTGTCTTTTCCCGGTTTTATGGGCCGTATTACAGTAAAGTGCTGTAATTTGTTTTAACTTACCAGACTGTTCTAGCTGTTCTAATATTTGCCTTGACCCAGTTAGTCGTATATCTACGTTACTGATGATGACTTAGCAGAAAGCTCAATTGTCAAATTGTGATATTTTATTTCCTCCATATCGCTCAGCCCTCGATTCTATTAAATACAAAACTCAAACCAAGATGCATACACTATAAATATTTGTAATTAGTGTGGGGCACTGGTCTTCAACCGGGGGTCTGTGAACCCCTAGTGGGTCCTCAGAGTGACTGCAGGGGGCCACAAAATGTTTTTGTAATTTTTAAATACAATTAGATTGATGTTATAATTTTTTTTATAATTTATAGGGCTGACCCAAAAAATTCGAAGCTTTGTTCAATGGCACGGGATTCGATTGTGAAAGAAAAAATTCGAAGCTTCGGCGCTTTTTTTTTTTTCTTCGTTTTTTTGGGGGAGGCCTTAAACGCAACACTGCCAGTCCGCTACTGACAACGAGCGCACTCAGAGCCGCTCTGAGTCTGGTGTCGGAGACACTTCTGATGCTCTGAGTTCCTAAATTCGTAAATTCGTTCTGAGCTCCAAAGCTTCGAATGTCCAAAAATGGATTCGAAGGTCAGCCCTAATAATTTATGTATATATGAAATTCAAATATGTCTGAAAATTCACATTACTGTGAGTCAAAAATATCATTAGCAAAGATAAAATCCTATTCATTAAACAAAGCTAAAAAAAAAAATCCTACAAAATAACGCATTGACGATAGGATAGGCTAAATGTTACCGATGAGTCATCCTGCAATCATGAGAGCTAGCTAACCTACACTAAATCATTGTGCCCTTCAAATATAAGTTTAACATTAAAACATGATACATAAATATATCAATCTGTCAATAATTATTATTTTATTAGCTGAGTATTGTCTGCACCATGACAAGGTACGTTTTAAAATGGCACTTGAGGCAGCCTTACACGTTACTGTCGGCTCAGTTTAATATGCAACTCCACCTAAAAAAGGACATGTAGTAGGGGGTCCCTGCTCCATCTCTCTTTCAGCTAAGGGGCCGAGGAGACCAGTGGTCCAGTGTAAAGGTAAGTCCAATTAAAAACCATGTTTGTATCTGTCATAGTAGGAGGTCTTAAATTTGGCAAATTAGCCAATTTGTGCTGGTCCAGCTTCCGCTACAATACTGGAATTAACAGGAACAAGCTTTGTTCTGTCTCTTTCATGAGCTCGTCTGTTCTCAACAAGGCTGTGCCTATTAGCTCTGCCTGCGTGTCTGTAGCATAAAGTCCCCTTTATGTGCTAAACTGAAATAAAATCTTTGTCCCAGTTAACTAAAGGTAAACACACCAACACACTTAGTCATCGCAGAGATGTATGACAATGTGCGCATTTACATTTAACAAGTGCTCCCATGAATAATTCATGATTTTTAAAAACTTGGAACAATGCTTCCACAGGGGACAGCGAGTATTCCTGACATCTTAACACGTCGACTACTTTTTTGAGAATATTTACTGTGCTGCAGTGCGGACTCACTGACCGCCTAAACCTTCTCATTTAAACAAGGCACAAACCGTCCTGCTATTTGGATGTCTTAAATTTTCCATTATCCTGCAGTTACAAGCCTGGATTTTCATTTGGCTTTTTCATGTGGCCGTAAATTTTCTTCCCCGAAGCACTTGTAGCTCGTGATGTCCTAATTCCCCACTGGAGACAGAGGATATGGAGCCCACAGCTTCACCTTACAGGACTGAGAAAGGCGAGCATTGGTAAAAGAATCAGCTTTCACCCCGGAGCTATATGGGAAATGTAAGGGATCTGAGGGATCAAGGCATGTTTGCTCAGAGCAGACTGGTAGATGCTCAGGGTATTGATCTGAGGATTGAGGTCTATCTTTTCTTCTGGGATGGAGACATCCTTGCTCTATATGTGCGTCCTATGCAAGACGACTACAATAACACCAAGGAATATGAATGTTGAGCACTTGGTTTGGTGCTTAAAATGCATAACTTTGCTTGCTGTATCAAATACCTGAGGCAATTAATGTGTCCCTGATTTTGATTGCTGTCACTGGCAGTTCTACTACATCCACATCCATTATTACAGATATTCAAGTGCTGCTGATAATATGGAAATTACTCCTTTTCCCAACAGCCTGTACCCTCTAAGGGAGAACAGGAGCTTTTACTGTGACAGTGGTTTGTGTTTATGCTGACAGAGACGCGCTACAGCTTTAAAGATACATTCAAGTGCCGGTCCTTCCTGTCTGCTATTTATGCTCCTCATCCAGTGGGCAGTGTGTTAATTTTAGCCATGTCATCTATCAGCCATGCCTGTTCCACTTCCTAAACCTTAATCTCTCCCTTGGAAAGGTGCCCAGTCAGCTCCATTGATATTGTTTTTGGCTGAGTTGGGAACAATGGACACTGCTCCTAAATGCACATATATTTAGGAAAAAATAAAAATAAAAGATGTAGCACTCTAACAGTGTTTTATTGACAGTCAACGGTGTAATCTTCGCCTGTTATTACCTGATGTGCAGTAACCACTCAGAGGAATGCAAACTCTCTCGGGGGACGTCGGCACGTGTTCCAGCATCACGCTCTGTATGATGAAAAAGAAGTCTCGGCAGGTCCAGAGAAAATCCCAGGCAGTATTATGAGACATGTCAAACACACTGCGCAGTAAATTCAAATGCTTCCCCCTTAGCTCAGCAGCAGAGTGTTGGACACAGTCGCAGTGAAGTGACCTTTGTACAGATATAATGTGACACTTTGATGCTGTGCAACTGTTAACTTTTATAATTTTGCTCGTACATGACTGCTGACTACTGGCCCCGCCCTGCTTTTAAATATTGAAAATACGCACCTGGCCAACAGCTTCGACTTTCTGACAATAACTGATATAAACAGTGAGCTGCTGCACTGTTGTTGCCGTACGTCCTAGATGCTGCTGGCTGTTTGCTGTGAAGAGCACTGGCTCAGAAAGTTTAACGTACTACATTATTTCTCTCTGTAACAAGAAACAATAGCACTATTTATCTGGGAGGCATGCAATTTCTATTTCTAAGCTTTCCTTTGTTGTTTCGTTCTGCTCTGAAATATATTTATTTCCTCAGAGCTCATTCTACCACATCATTGAACAATGTTATTTCTTACTGTGCCTCTGAAGCAGTTGGCAAATCAATCCGGCAACCGACAGCAGTCGGTTTGGGGTTTTGACGTCAGGAGATGTCAGGCCTTTTTTTTTCCAGAGCACAACAGATGGATGTGCTAGTCCTCCTGTCAACAAAGTTACAAGGCACAACATGAATAAAAACACACATCCACTTGCTCTCATTCAGACGTGCAAACTGCTGTTTCCCCCTCACTCTGTAATGTTGCATTAATACTTATAGAATCTGACTCATTCAAACAGCACTGTGTCTGATAAGTTGATGCTCTGTAAAAAGACCTGAGCCTGCAGAAATACGCCATCCTGTGTTAAGACAGAGTATTGCTTTTGGGGGGTTTGTTTACATCAGGAATAAAAAGTGCGTATGACATAGAAACCTCTGGATGGATGAAGCTGAGTCAAGGCAGTGGAACAGCAGGCACACGCACTTAAAAATTAACAGAAAAATCAATAATATATATATATATATATATATACTTCTAAAATAAACCCATTGAAGGAATTCTATTTCTGCAAATGAACAATGGGAAAAACAACCTTACATAATTTGAACTTAAGGCATATACGCAGCAAATGCTTTTTGAATGACGTGGTCACTAATTTCACATTTTTACATATTTTATAATTTAAACACAGTAAACTCAGGTGGATATTGTACTAAACGCAGTATAACACACTTTGAGTGGTGCAGCAGCAACACAATTCAAAGTGCGTATAATACGAATGTCCTGGAAAAAGCAGCAAAAATATAGTTTTCCTCACAAATGATTTTTTTTCTTGAGAGAACACTAGTTTAAAGTAATTTCCCCTCCTCTGCAACTTTAAAATTAACTTAGAACTCTGATATAAAGGGATATCAAAAGTTGAATCAATAATATTCAAATCAAAACTGCCACTAACAAGCAAAAATCAATAAAGACAGACTAATACAACATCTAGCACAAAAATGAAATCAATACGCAGTACGGCATGGATGCAAAGACCACTCACTCCTGAGGTAAATTGAAGTGCGCAACATCCTCCTGCAGCAAGCATCCAGCGCACCTCTCCATCCCACCCTGCTCCTCTGCCCTCTCACTGGCTCCTCAAGAAAAAAATGAGGCACACTCCCCCCAGGCATGTTTTATAAGGAAACAGCTGAGAGCAAATGCCTTGCTTATTTCCGGGTGACGCTGGAAAAATGCGCACTACATCGCAATAATCAAATCACGGTCGTGCGCAGGCTAATTCTCACTGGCCTTTAATAAGAACAGTTTGAAAACAAATTGTGCGTTTAGGAAATAAAGAATTAAAACTGTAACACTGTGGAAAAACCACACAGAGGGATAAAAAGTAGGTTATGAGACGATAGTGAAGCAGCCTACCGCCCACCACTGATCCACTGTAACCTAAATCCTTATACTGATGGTATATAAGATTCACAGGAGCAGGTACTGGATGGACATTAAACGCTGTCTCCTGGAGGGGGCGGATGACTTACCGACAGCGCCTCTTTCGCAACACATGCCCGGTCCGGTCCCCCTCCACGGTTACACCTCCGTCACGGCTGCCATTACCGCCCATCAGCACTCCTGTTATCATCTAATCCACAGTGGTCCCTGGCTCTAATGAAAACCCCCCCTGTCCATCGACATTTTCACAGCAACACAAACACGCCACGCCCACCGCCACACACCCCCGTTTCCTGATTGGACGCTGCTCCGAAAAGCGTCAACAAGATCACGTGCTTTTGACGCAGGTTTACAAACAGGCTCAGAGAGGAAGTGGAGAGCAGGCGAGACGAGAGACACACTTCACTGTACTTCCGGTTTTGCTCAAAATCGCGTTTGGGACCTTTCTTAGAGGGAGCGCGAGAGCAACTGTGAGGTGAACATGTTTAATTAAATAAAACACATTCAGTATATATGAATACGTCATTGCATGACATTGCAAGCCAATACAAGCGATTTTGCATTATATAAGACACAGGAGGACCTACTTTCTTGCAACTTCTTATTATCTGATCAGTTATTGATCTTGCCTGTAACAGCTCAGTATCCTGCTTAATTATTTTGACCTTTGCAAGATGAACAAAGAAGGTTGTAGCACATCATTTTGCAGGATTGAGCTGTTCTCTTCAACAGAAAATTAAAATCTTGTCTAATTATCATCTTACTGCGGAAGTTCACAGCGGCAAAAACTCTTTGATGTTGTACTTTCCAAACTTTCATCAACATGTTTTCTCCCATTAAACATGAAAATAACTAAAAAATAAATAAGTTTTATTTCTTTTCTTTTGTAATAATCAGATAAGTTAAATTACTATATTACAATCTGAGTCACAAATTAGAAAAAAACATAATATTTAGAAAGAATAACTAAATTACACTATGTGAGCATCATCACACAGCTGACACCCTCCTCAGGCACAAACATCCAGCACACAGCCTGAGACACAGCAGAGCACAAAGCATGCTCACACATAAACCCCAATCTTTAACAGTTTTCTCCCTGCAACAGTGAGACTGATGGCGAAAACAAATAAGGACTAACTACACTGACTCATATAACCCCGTTCATGTACAATAAAAGCTTTAAATGTGCTAAACTTATAATGTGCAAAACCCTCTTTTTTGTTTGCTTTTTAACACTTTGTTTTGTGCACTTTATTTTTTACTATTTGGAGGTGTGTCAGGCACGTCCCACTGGTAGGAGGCCACGGGGCAGACCCAGAACACGCTGGAGGGATTATATATCTCATCTGGCCTGGGAACGCCTTGGGGTCCCCCAGGAGGAGCTGGAAAGCATTGCTGGGAGAGGGATAACTAGGGTGCTTTGCTTGGCCTGCTGCCTCCGCGACCCGGCCCCACATAAGCGGATGAAAATGAATGAATGGATGGATGGATATTTATCATCTATCTATTTCTGACATGACTCCAAGTGTTTTTTGCACAAGCATTCCTCTGTACTCAGACTGTGTCCAGGTATACAAATGGCAAATTAAGTTATCTTATCTTATCTTAAATCATACGCATTTTAAATAGTACATTTGCATCCATTAGGCGCCTTCATTTAAAGATTAAATGCCCTTAAAACCAGGTTTCATATCCACTCTTCAAAGTGTGTCTGCTAAAGGTTGGAAATTAATTTTTTTTTGTCCACCTGCCACCATGGTTGGTGGATTCCAAAATCTAGATTACCATTGTTTTTTTTGGCTGAGTGAAGCAAATCTAGTAGCCACTTAGATATTTGACCAGCATTTGGCTGGTGGCTGGTGCTAATTTCAAACCCTTGGTCTTTATCATTTGATATTTGTATCTAAACAAGCAATAATTAAGGTTTGGGGGACAAAAACACCCTGAGGTATTATTTATTTAACACTCAAAATAACTAAGAAAGGATGGCAGAGGAGATACCTGCACACCGGTGCAACTGGGCTGGACAGCCACTAAAAGGTTACAGGCTAAGATCAATGCAAAAAAAAAAAAAAAAGTCAATTTATTTAGGACATCCGTGCACAAATACAAAGGTGCTCAAAATGCAAAAAATAATTTAAAAAAAAAAGTGAATAAAAACAGCTGCAAACGTTCCAGTCCTTGACTTTGATCAGTGTTACTGACATGAAAAACAGTCATGAAGTCATGAAAGTCGAGGACTGAAACGTTTGATGCCGTTTTTATTCACTTTTTTTAATCACTATTTGCATTTTGAGCACCCTTCTTTTTGTGCACGGATGTCCTAAATAAATTGACTTTTTTTTTTTTTTTTTGCACTGACCTCAGCCTGTGAACCTTTTTTGTGGCTGTTCAGCCCAGTTGCATTGGCATACGCGTATCTCCTCTGCCATCCTTTCTTGGTTGTCCATCCTACCGATGCACCCAAGATAAACTTTTTTGTTGCCCTGAGTAGGCTCAGTTTCACAGCAGCCCTAAGACACTCATAATAACTACCATCATTTTAGTTTAAATTTTGTGAAACTGTAGCTGGTGCATGGAAACACGTGACATCACCTTTTCTGGCTGAAACTTGCCCAATTTAAAACAGCAATAAGCCAAAGACAAAAACACAAATAGTCTACTGAAGTCTCTGATGTGAAATAACAAAAAATGTTCTAACTTGGCATAAACATAAAACACAAAAATACTGACTTATCCCTACATATCAAAACTAAATATTTGAGAGATAAAAACAACAACTGGCCAGCTCACTTACTGTAAAAGTTCATAGTATAGGCTAGCAGTCCAAAAATGCAGCCGAGGCACTCATAACGTGTATAAAACTGAAATACTGAGTTACACTTTTTATAATAATTAATCAATATTTCAATTTCATACACTCTGAGATTGTTGTTCGCTCACACATATTGCTTTTTGTCCTTATACATTTCTCAGATTCTGCCACTTTATGTGTAGGTTTGTCACAATCCATAACAATTCTTAATTTATTTCACTGTTGTTTCCTTTCTTTTTATTGCACATTGACCCTTTTTCTTGTTACTAAATATGTTAATTATTTAAAATATACATTTATGTCATTTTCATTTGCTATTTTTGTCAATGTGGTTATTGTCTAGTAGGGCCATACCAATATATCATGTGACCCCTACATGAGCTCTAAAGTGCACACCTGTTTCCAATGCATTTTACACCTTGATGAAGACTCTCAAGTCGAAACGCGTTGGTTATTCATGAATTTATGAAGGATTTTAACTACAGTCAGAGTGCCTTGATGCATTTTCGGACAGTCTGCCAGCACTGTGGACTTACACACTTTTACACTAAGTGAGCTGACCAGTCATTTTTAAGTGACTCTTTGCACCAACCTTGAAGAGCACCGGATTTTTTTTTTTTTTTTTTTTACACTAAGTGAGCTGACCAGTCATTTTTAAGTGACTCTTTGCACCAACCTTGAAGAGCACCGGATTTTTTTTTTTTTTTTTTTACAACTAACTACACAGAGCCTTAACCCAGTGCAGCTCTCCCTATTTTTTGCTCAGTTTCAATACTCATTTTCTTCAGTATTGACACACCGGTACCAGCTGTGCTTTCTTGTGCTCTCTCATCGTCAATACTTAATACAGTCATTCTGCTGTTCTCTGCCAGTAACCAAGACAAACAGATGTTA